AACACTCCCCCTCCCCCTCAAACTCAATGTTGGCACGCGCGGGGGAGACTACGGCCGAAGTGCATCTCACTGGACCCACCGCCAACTTTGAACATTGGGGGGAGGGGGAGGCGTCGACGGATGAATGTAGCATGAGTGTTCGCTATTTTTTCCGAGGCTTGTAACACACGTTCTGAGGATCATCGACTCCTCCTCGTTGCCGAGCGCTCCCCTCGCAGCTGGGCGGGTCTGCCTCGCCAGGTCGACGCCGGCACTGTGGCTCTCGTGCGGGTGCCCCTGGACGGCGCGGCCGGGCGTAGAGAGACGGGGGGGGGGCGAGCAGGGGTGAGGGGTGCGAGAGGGGGAGGAGGGACTGAAACACAGACACAAGTAATTGTCGATCCCCAGGAAGATATGGGAAGTATTGGGAGTGGAGGGGGAGAGGCACATCCAGGAAGTATGGGAAATATAAGGGAATCCTGGGATTTGTGGCTATTTGCTTGTGTGTCTCTGGGCCCCTTCAAGAGGGAGGAGGAAAAAGGAGGAGGAGGATCAATAGGAATTCAGGAAGAGGGGTGGGGGAATTCGGGAGGAGGATGGAGGGGCAGGAGAGGGAGAGGGAGGAGGTTGAGAATGCCTCCTCCTCCTCTTTCTCGCCCTCCTCACTCTATGGGGATCACGACCTCCCCACCCTGAGAATCATCATTTCCATCATCAGCAACTTCGTCGTCGTCGTCGGCGGCGGTGTCGTTGTAGTCGTCGTCGTCTTCGTCGTCACCATCATCACCATCGCCACAGTCATCTCCATCATCATCAGCATCATCATCATCACCATCATCATCATCATCAGTATCAGCAGTATCATCAACATCGTCACCATCATCACCGTCATCACCATCATCACCATCATCATCATCATTATCATCATCATCATCATCGTCGTCGTCGTCGTCGTCGTCGTCATCATCATCATCAGCCCCGCTCCCTCCTTCTCCTCCTCCTCCTCCTCCTCCTCCTTTTCGTCCTCCTCCTCCTCCGCCCTCTTCTTGTTCTGTGGCGCGCCCATTCCTTCCAGGAAGGGCGAGGAGGAGGAGGAGGCGGAGGAGCAGCAGCAGCCGGAGGAGGAGGACGACGACGACGGCAAACGACGACGACGACGACGACGACGACGACCACGACGACGACGACGACGACGACGGCAACGGCGCGGACGACGACGTGATGACGACGGCCCGTGACGACGACGGCCCCCGTCAATAGTCGAACCCAGGGCCTCAGGGCCCCCGCCTCGAAGGCACCCCGTGGCCCGGCTTCCTGTGCGCGCAGCCTCGAGGCCGGCAGAGCAGCGCGGCCCCTGCGGCCCCGCGCCGAGGGTGCGTTCGTCGTCCTGTGCGGGCGCTCGGGGCCATCCATTGTAGCTGCCGAGAGTCAGAAGCTTGGCATCGCTCGGGCGTGTGCATTTTTTCTCGGCGAGGACCATCGAGGAGTATTTGGGGCCATCCTGCGAACAAAATACACGCACGACACCGAACAAGTAAACGGGGAATGGGCGTCCGATCGATGGCGAGGAAGAGGAAATGGTACCCGCTGCCCGGCCATCACTTTCTCGTTGTCTGCCTCCTGGGAGGCCCTCGTCGCCACCGGTGGATTCGCTTCGAGATTCTGGTCGAAACGCGTAACCCCACCAGCCCATCCAGAAACGATGCCCAGAGAAATTGCCTCGATCAGGGAAGTGGGAAGCACTCAGAGGAAGGGTCCCCCAGTAGAGGCCTCTTGGAGCGTCTTGGGGGCCTCTTGGCGGTCCCGGACGCCTCTTCGAGCGTCTTGGGTGCCTCTCAGAGCTTCTTGGGGCATCTTGGGGTCTCTTGGGAGCCTCTTGGAGGCCTCTTGGGCGCCTGTAGGGGCCTCCTGGGCGCTTCTTTGGGCCCTCTTGAAGCGATCTTGGAGCCTTGGGAGCGCTCTTGGAGCCTGCTTGGGCCAGAGCCATCTTGAGGCCTCGGATGGCCATCGGAAGTGAAGAGGCGAGAAAGCCAAAAACATTGATTTTCGTATGGTTTTGGAAGTATGTTGGCCTCTTCGGGGCCTCTTGGGGGAGCTCTTTGGCCACTTGGAGCTGTCTTGGAGCGGTCTTGGGGCCTCTTGGAGCATCGTGGGAGCCATCTTGAGGCATCTTGGGGTATCTTGAGCCATCTTGGAGGTCATCTTGGGCTCTCCCAGGCGCTCTTGGAGTCATCTTAATTAGTGCCCCCCCCCTCCCGGAGGCCAAAATGTAGCCACAACCTCATGTAACATCAATGACTTTGGCATTCTCGCCGAGGCCTCTTGGAGCGTCTTGGGTGCCTCTGGGGGGCCTCTTGGGAGCCTCTTGGGGGCCTTTTGAGGGCCTCTTGGGGGCCTCTTAGGGCCTCCTGGCCACCTCTTGGGGCCCTTTTGGGGCACCCTTGGGAGCCTTGGGAGCGCCGGTGGGGCCATCTCGGAGGACATCGATCAAAGAAGGGGGCTCCCTTAATTAGCCTCTCCCCTCGGGAGCCCCCCAAGTCGCCTTTTTGAGCGTTCTTTGGGCGCTCTTGGAGCTTGGGCACTCTGGGGGCCGTCTTGGGGCTCCCTTGGGCCCCTCTTTGGGCTCTCTTAGTCCATCTTGGAGCTATCTTCAGGCCTCGAATGGCCATCGGAAGCGAAAAGGCGAGAAAGCCAAGCACATGAATGTTCCCAAGGTTGTTGAAGGATGTTGGCCTCTTGCGGGCATCCTTGGGGAGCTCTTTTGGCAACTTGGAGCCGTTTTGGAGCAGTCTTCGGGCGTCTCGGAGCATCTTGGGAGCTATCTCGAGGCATCTTGCGCTATCTTGAGCCATCTCGGGCGCCATCTTGGGCTCTCTGAGGCCGTCTTCGGGCCGTCTTGGGCGAAAAAGTACTCTCTGACACCTCGCGACCGGCCCCGTTCAGGTCCAGGGGAGGGGGTAAGGGGAGGGGTCAAGACCCCCTCCCCGCCCGCAAGCCGTCTCGCTCACTCCCACCCGCCTCCCAACACATACGTAGCACCCGAGTCTGGCCCGAGCCTCAGCATATTCAGCAGTCGTCTTTGGATGGGGAGCTACTGGGGGCCAATCCGCCGCCGCCGCCGCCGCCTCCGCCGCCGCCGCCGCCGCCGCCGCCGCCGCGCCGGCCGCCGCCGCCGCCGCCGCCCACGCCGCCGCCCCGCCGCGCCGCCAGCCGCCGCGCCGCCCGCCGCCGCCGCCGGCCGCCGCCGACGCCGCCGCCGCGCCGCCGCCACCGCGCCGCCGCCCCGCCGCAGCAGCCGCCGCCGCCGCCCCCGCCGCCGCCGCCGCCGCCGCCGCCGCCCCCGCCGCCGCCGCCGCAGCCCCGCCCAAACCGCGCCGCAGCCGCAGCCGCCGCCGCCGCCGCCGCCGCCAAGTGTACTCTATATTGTTGTTTTGACAGGGATGGTGGGGGGGGCCGCATCGGGTTGGCTGCGCATGTTCCGAATTTGGAGGCAGAGTGTGTTTTGTATTGTTTTTTACAAGGGATGGTGGGTGGGGGGTGTTGTCATGGACTCGGTTGGCCCCCAGTCGCCTGGGGGAGGGGGTGTTTATTAATAGGGAACAGTGTTTCCGGACTCCCTCCCCGCCCGCCAAGCCGTCTCGCTCAACTCCCGCCCGCGCTGGAAACACATACGTAACACCCGAGCCTGGCCCGAACCGCAGCATATGCAGCAGTCGTCTTCGGATGGGGAGCTACTGGGGGCGCATCCGCCGCCGCCTCCGCCGCTGCCGCCGCCGCCCGCCGCCGGCGCCGCGCCGCCGCCGCCGCCGTCGCTGTCCTCCGCCCCGCCGCCGCGTCGCCCGCAGCCGACGTCCGGCCGCCGCCGCCGCCGCGCGCCCGCCTGAGCCGCCGCCGCCGCCGCCGCCGTCGCCCCGCCGCCGCATCGCCGCCGCCCAGCCGGTGCCGCGCCGCAGCCGCTTTTGCCGCCACCGCCGCCGCCGCCGTCGCCCTCGCCCCGTTGCCGCGGGCGCCACGTGCCGGCCACCCGCCGAGGCCGCCGCGGCCGCCGCCACAGGCAGCAGCCGCCGCAGCTCGCGCGCCCGCCGCCATGTGCAGTTTTGTCGTTGCGCATGCTCCGAATTTGGAGGCAGAGTGTGGTTCGCGTTGTTTTTACAAGGGATGGTGCGGGGGGTCTCCATTGTCTCGGGTTGGCTCCCAGTCGCCAAGGGGAGGGGGTGTATATTAATAGGGAACAGTGATCAAGAGTCTCCCTCCCCGCCCGCAAACCGTCTCGCTCGCTCCCGCCAGCCCTCCCAACACATACGTAGCACCCGAGCTTGGCCCGAGCCGCAGCATATGCAGCAGTGGTTTTTGGATGGGCAGCTACTGGGGGCGCATCCGCCGCCGCCGGCGCCGCTTCCGCCGCCGCCGCCGCCGCTTGTGCCGCCGCCGCCGGCGCCGCGCCGCCGCCGCCGCCGCCGCTGTCCGCCTTGCCCCCGCCACGCGCGCCCGCCGCCGCCGCCGCCGCCACCCCAGGGCCAACCTGCCGCCGCCGCTGCGCTGCCGCCGCAGCCGCCGCCGCCTACCGCTACCCGCCGCCGCCGCCGCCCCGCCGCCGCAGCCGCCGCCCGCCGCCGCCGCCGCCCCCGCCGCCGCCACCGCCGCAACCGCCGCAGCCGCTGCCCCCGCCGCAGCCGCCGCAGCCGCCGCCGCCGCCAAGTGTACTCTGTATTTTTTATCACCCGTTTCTTTCAGCAGGGATGGTGGGGGGAGGCCACCTCGGGTTCGTTGCGCATGCTCCGAATTTGGAGGCATATGTTTTTTTTGGACAAGAAATGGTGGCGGCAGAGTGTGTTTTGTATTGTTGTCTACAAGGGGTGGTGGGGGGGTGCCCGCATGGACTTGGGTTGGCTCCCAGTCGCATGGGGGGTGTATACTCATAGGGAACAGTGATAAACCCTTCCCCGAAAGGGAAGAAAGGAGGTGGAAGAGGAAACGATCTAGACCACCAGCGCCCAGAGGGCTGGTGGGAGTCCTGTCGACTCGAGAAAGGTGCCGACGCCGCTACATTTCGCCATGTGTTCTGCCTCCTGGGAGGCCCTCGTCGCCGCCGCTGGACTCGCCTCGAAACTCTGGTCGGAAAGCACCATGGGAGAGGTCCAGGGTTATGATCTTCCAACCTACTACTTTAACCCTGATCAGCTGAAACCATTTCGAGCGCCGAAAATACATAGTTTCTAGGGTTGCCACGTGTCGGGCCCTGGGAAAAACTCGCCCGACACTATTTCGGCACTGTTTCGATACTCGTTCGACAGTTTTCCGGGTGCTCGAAATTATTTTTGGGATGTGGTCCTTGAGTGCGATGGGAGCAGCGTAAGTCCAGGGACTCTAGCGGCATCGGTACCCTGTGGTAGCCCCAGAGAAGCGTGCGGGGGTGCCTGGAAAGCGCCCCGAACGGCCTCCGGAGGCTCGAGTCACTTCTGACCTGACTACTAATTTCGGCGGCGCGCCAGGAGGGGGATGAGGAGGAGGAGGAGGAGGAGGAGGAGGAGGAGGAGGAGGAGGAGGAGCAGGAGCAGGAGGAGCAGGAGGAGGGGGATGAGGAGGAGGAGGAGGAGGAGGAGGAGTGATTAGGACGATGAGCGCGGAGGAGGAGGAGGAGGAGGAGGAGGAGGAGGAGGAAGAGGAGGACGCGCGGCGAGGAGGCAAGAGGAACGAGGTGGAGTTGGGGGCACGCCTTCTCAGAAGGCGGCGGGCTTCTCAGAAGCCGTCTGTGCCTTCCCAGAGGTGCCTTGCATAAGCCTTCTCCGGATCTCTAGGCCTCCCAGATGGGGTCGGAGTAGACGGGGTCGGCGGATCGCGCCGCATCGACGATGCATCGGCGATGCGGCTCGACGCGGAGCCCGACTTCTCTTCACGTCGACGTCGCCGATGCATCGCCGACGTCGACGATGCATCGCTGGTGCATCGCCGATGCATCGCCGATTCATTGCCGATGCATCGGCGGTGCGGCGCGATCCTCCGACCCCATCTGCTTCGACCCCATCTAGGAGGCCTCTAGTAGCCACCGGCAGCTTCTTCCAGAAGGACAGAGGGCTTCTGATCAGCCCCATTCACCTTCCGGGACGGCCTGCCCCTTCTCTCGTTGATAGGTGTTTTGCCCTCGGTCCCTCTGAGAGAAGCTAGCTTCTCTTGGAAGGACCGAGGGTCTTCTGGTGAGCCCCATCCGCCTTCCGAAAAGGCCTGCCCTTTCTCTCACTGCGCCCCTGGGCTCGCCGACGATGCCAGGCCCCCTTCGCCCAGGTCGACGGCGGCGGAGACGATCATGACGGCGTCGGCGGCGACAATCACGACGACGACGATCACGACGACGACCACGACGACGAAGACGATCAAGCCGACAACCTGACGACGTCGACGACGGCGATCACGAGGATGACGACGATCACGACGGCGATCACGACGGCGATCACGACGTCGATCACGACGACCACGTCGACGACGCCGACCACGCCGCCGACGCCTCACGACGTCGGCGTTGGCGGCGGCGCCTGCGGCCGTGCCCCCCCCCCCCCCGGAGCCCCGCCGCCCGCCCCCCCCCTTCGGAGGCAAAGGGGGGGGGGGGGGGGGCGACCCCGAGATCCTGAGGGGCGAGGGGGGGGCGACCCTAAGGGGGGCGACCCTGAGACCCCCCATCGCGAGGGGGGGGGGGGGGGGGGGGGGGGGGGGGCGACCCGGAGATCCCGGCGTCCCCGCTTATCGGAGCCCCGCGCGGTCGCCTTCCGCTGTCGGGCCCCGGGGCCCGCGCAGATCTTTGCCAGACGTCGGGTCTCGGGGGGGAGGAGGGGGGAGGCGCGAGGAAGAGCCCCTTCCTCGCTTCTCTCCCCCTCCTCGCCCCTCCTCGCTCCCCCCCTCCGCGCCCGTCATCGCTCTCCCCCTCCTCGCCCTTCCTCGCTTCTCCCCCCCTCCCCAGTCCCTCCTCCGAAGTGGGGCTGGGGAGGGGAGGGGAGGGGAGGGGAGAGGGGAGGGGAGGAGCGAAGGGGGGAGGGGAAGAGGAAGTGCAGGAGGAGGAGGAGGAGGAGGGGCAGGCGGGCAGGCGGAGGAGGCTCGAGGAGCAGCAGGAGGAGGAGGAGAGGAGAAGGAGGAGCAGCGAGGACCGAGGAACGAGGAGCGAGGGGGGGGGCGAGGCGTGATGGGGAGCCAGGAGGAGCGCAGAGAGACCGCCCAGACGTGCGACGTCCTGCTTTTTCCAATGCACGGCCCCCAGAAGTCCCGAGCCCTGCCCCGAGACCGGCTTTTCATCCCGGGTCGTTTTGTTGACGCCCCCGGGGCCCGGCGAGGGCCCACGGACGCCGAACATGGCTCAACATTTTGCCGTCGTGATTTCTTGGCTTTTTTCTGCTCAACATTTTGCCGTCGTGATTTCTTGGCTTTTTTCTGCTGCGCCCTCGGCATGTCTGGGCAGGAGCCCCCGCCCGCCCCCCCGAGGACGACCTGGTCGGCCCGGGGCCGCCCGCCGCCGTCGCCCCCATCTGCCAGGACGCCCGGCCCCCGCTGGGCGCCGCAGAGCCGCGGCCGTCGCCCGCCCGCGGGCCGGCGGCCCGGAGATCCCGGCGTCGATTACCAGCCTGGAACACATCCCTGTCCCTATGCTGGGCATCTCCGCATCACGATGCCAATCTTAGGGATTCCCTCATTTTTTGAGGGCGAATCCCTAAGATTGTCATCGCCTTTTGGCGTGTCAATCTTACGGATAGGGATAAGTTCGGGGCTGGTCAGTCGATGTGGGCCCCAGAGATCCAGTGCAGTGACAAGAGTCGGGCCGGTCCCTCCACAGGGGGAATCACCGACCGCGGGCGACAATAGAATAGATACATCCCCCCTCCCTTTATCCCCTCTATTCTTTTACCCCCGACCACAGGGATCTATCTGTGGGGAAGGCGCGGAGGCCGAACTTTATAATCCACGGAAAAGTTGCGGCGATCGAAGTTGTTGTCATATCATGTTGTCACGGGCCTCGAGATCGCTCGAGTCAGGTTTCCGTCGTGCGCCTGGTTTCACCTCCTCCTCCATCATCATCGTCGTCATCATCATCATCATCATCATCATCATCATCATCATCATCATCATCATCATCATCATCATCATCATCATCATCATCATCGTTAACTTACCTTCCCCAGGAAAACCCTTTATTATCCCCGCGGGAACCGCGAACTTTATTATCCCAGGGGGTTATTATCGCCCGCGGTCGGTTATTCAAAGACAGTAAAGAAATAGTCAGCAGACGATTTGTTTACCATGATTGGAGTATTTTTCTATTTTCGCTCAAAATCCGCTTGTAGGGGGTCCCCAAACGTAGTGGTGACCACACCGTGCGGTAAGTCAGTGGGAATTCGGGGTCACCGCACGGTTTTCGTTCTCTGAGGATGTCTCGGGCGATTGGGGCATCCGAGGTCCCAGAACCGTGCGTTGACGGACCGTGCGGTGAGGTCTTGGGGGATTTCGAGGTCACTGCACGGTCTGTCACCGCACCTTTTGGGGGCTCCAAAGATCCAGCGTAGTGATAAAGTCAAGATGCAGGTCTTTCGCGTGGTTTGGCCTCCATAGAGGCCCTCGCAGGGCCCCAGGACCGTCAAAAACGCCTCAGGATATGAAGAGCCAGTTCCTGGGAAGGGGTTTAATTTTCTGTGGGTCACGTCATGAACAAAAAGCACGACGTCACGGGGGTCTGGAGACGTGGAGACGGGGGTCCGTGCAAACGGGGGTCACCAAGAGCGCCGGCTCTTGCGGGTTATTGCATGGCCAGGATTGCACTGACCCGGGCTAGCGTGCAGGATCGTGCAGGAACCTGCAGGGCCTCGCAAGGCCCGGCCGACCCACGTTTGCTCTGGCCTGGGCCAGAGCGTCCCCGAGGGTGCTCGTCATCGCACCGATTGGTCGCCGCGCGGGGGCAGCCCGCGGGCCCCAGCATGCAGTCCCAAGTCGTGCTCGCGCCGTGGACAAAAGGGCGCGACGGGCGGTCCTGGGCAGTTTCTGCCTCGGAGGGCCCCCGCTCCCTCAGCATCGAGGACACAAGAACCCCTCAACCCTGACAGCACCGTGAAGGCATGGCCTTACCGCGGTCCCAGTCGTTGCATTAGGGATCACAGGTCTGGGCGGTTTGCTTTGATACATCTGCAGGGAAGACCTTCTATCCCTTGTGTTTTCGTTGGCCTCCTAACTTAGGTCGCCCCCCAGAGGGTTGGGGTCCTTCTGTTGCCAGTCACCTGAGATCCCGGCGTCGCACTTTTGCACAGCGGGCATTTTGTTTACCCTGCGTCTGGCCCTGAGCCCCGCGGCCCTCGAGGCATGGGGCCGAAGGAGGGGTGGGGTCCAGGGCTCCCCTGTCGAGTTCACGTCGGATCTTAGGAGGCGACGCCGGCGGCGGCGCCGCCGGCGTCGGCGCCGCCGAGGAAGATCGAGCCGGACGAAAGGGGGGGATTGGGAAAGGGGGGGTTACGAAATTTGCTGCATGCAGCTGGTTTCGGCCTCACCGAGGGGCCCATTCCTCGATACATAGCCGCCTCCAGCGCCAGGAGGCGCCGGGAAAATCAGCTACTTGAGCTGATTCTCAAATCCCCCCTTTGCTATCCCCCCCTTTCGCCCGACGCGAGAAGAGGGAGGAGGAGGAGGAGGAAGAGGAGGAGGAGGAGGAGGACGAGGAGGAGGAGGAGGAGGAGGAGGAGGAAGGCGGCGGCGGAAAAACCGGCGGCTGCTGTGTGTTGCGGGCCCACGGTGATGCCACTCCTCTCGCCACGAGAGCCGAAGTAATTCGAAGAAGGACAATCTGGACAACACGAATTTTCGGATGCGAAGGAGAAATCGAAGAAGGAACCATGATGATGACGACTCGAAGACAAGGCTGCATGAGCAGAAACTGTGAAGCTTCGCAGTGATTTCTTGAGTCGGCGCTGGAACCCGCCTTGCGTCGCCTCCGGCGCCACCCCTGGCGCCCTCTGCGCGTTAGCGAGGGGGTCCAGCGCAGATCCAAGAAATTCGTGCGGACCGTCGACAATTTTCAGGAGGGGAAAAAATCACACAGACACAATGAATCGTCGATTCCCAAGAAAATATACGAATATCTGGGAAGTGGGGAAGACAGAAACCCAGAAAATATGTGAACATATGGGGAATCCTTTGCTTTGTGTGTATTTCTTCGTGTGTTTGTGGGCCCCTTAAAATTTATGTTTACGCAGATGTTTCTTCTAAGTGAGGCCGCTCGTGTCCCCCACCCACGGGTGTCACCGTGGCCTTGGGGGGCTGTCAGTCGGCTTGGGGAGACCAGTCTTGTTTCGTCCTGGCTGTCGTCGGGGACGCCCAGCTGACCCAATCCTGCCGGCGTCGACGCCGCCGAGGAGCAGGGAGCAGGAGGAGGTGGAGGAAGAAGAAGAAGGAGCCGGCGGAAAAAAAAGTTGGCTGCTCGTAGCAGCTGCTCGCGCGCAGGCGGTGGTTGCGTTAGCGGCGGCGCGGGTGGAGAGTGAGGGTCGCGCCAGCGTTGCCGAGAGAGAGAGAGAGAGAGAGTGAGACGAAGAGTTGGTTCATGCATACGCCGACTGTCGTCCTTTTTTCTGCTCTCCGTCTTCAGGAAGACGGGGGGTGATCGAGCAAGATGACATCAGGGGAGGACCGCGGTTCGATGATGGATGGCGAGACTCGATGAGGAGGAGGAGGAGGAGGAGGAGGAGGGGGAGGGGGAGGAGGAGGAGGAGGAGGAGGAGAGGAGGAGGAGGAGGAGGGGGGGGGAGGAGGAGGAGGAGGGGAGGAGGAGGAGGAGGAGGAGGAGGGAGGAAGGGAGGAGGAGGAGAAGAGGGGGGGGAGGAGGAGGAGGAGGAGGAGGAGGAGGAGGAGGAGAGGAGGAGGAGAGAGGAGGAGGAGGAGGAGGGGGGGGAGGACAAGCTAGGTGCGCTCGCGTCATATCTGACATCCTGCCCCTCCCTCCCATCCCTTACCATGGCGTAGATCCCCTCTCTACTCGCACAGTGGATGTCGAGCAGGGCAATGATCCCGAAAGGGTACGCGATGCATTGTAGAGCACCGCAAAGCGTAGTATGTCACAGCATGGCGTGGCGTGGCGTAGTGAAGAATTGCATCACAAAGCTTTGCAACGCAAAACATGGCATCGCACAGCGGCCCCGAACATAACATTGCATAGCATGGCGTTGAAGATCAAAGCGTAGCATGGCATAGCACGACGTGGCACTTAAGCACTGCATATCACAGCTTCAGCTGAAGGCATGGCATCGCGCAGCGGAACGCAACCTAGCATTGCATTGCATGCCGCGGCATGGCACGGGAAATGACGCCAGCGCTGCAGCGGGAGCACGATCCGGAACGAGCGGAAGCGCGGAAATGAGGCCAGCGCTGCAGCGGGAGCACGATTCGGAACGAGCGGAAACACGGAAATGAGGCCAGCGCTGCAGCGGGAGCACGATTCGGAACGAGCGGGGCCCGAAAATGAGGCCGGTGCCTCAGCGAGAGCAGCATTTTGACAAAAAAACCGCAGGCGAAAACCCGTTTCCCGGGAATCTTGTGTGTAAAAAACAGTACGCGGGGGGGGGTCGGCCATCTTCGGGACGCCATCAGGGGAAGTGGGAGAGTATTTTCATATTGTGTAATTGTGGAGGAGGAGGGGGAGGAGGAGGGGGAGGAGGAGGGGGCGGAGGAGGAGGAGGAGGAGGAGGAGGAGGAGGAGGCAGTGAGGGTTGCCGATGCTGGGCGGCGCGGCCACGGCAGGGGGGGGCGCGGGCCCTCGCAGAGGGCGCAGAGGGCCTCCGGCCGTCCGAGTAGCTCTCTGGGCCGTCTCCGAGGCCAAAGGCGGTCGGGCCTGTCCCTCTGCAGGATGAATATTCCCAGGTAGTCAAAAGACAGTCCGGGGACCACTTCTTCACTATGTTTGGCCATTCTGCGGTATTTCTTGACTATTTTAAATTTTTCGTAGAAAGCCCGCCTGTAGGGCGACACGCCCGACCTAACGCAAGACGCGAGAACTTCTGAGAAGCCCCCCCGCCTTGCCCCGCAGCGCGCAGCCGAGAGGAGCAGAGTGTGTATGCGTATGCCGACGTTCTGGATCGCAGAGGATCGAGGGTCGATGACGGAGGTTCGGGGAGGAGGAGGGAGGGAAGGAGGGGTGCCCATGCCAACCGCATCTGTCAACCCTGGAGGATACTGGTGATGATGGTGGTGATGGTGGTGATGTTGACGATGATGGTGAACGGGTATGGGGATGGTGGAGATGATGAGGAAGATGATTGAGGATGGTCATGGTATTGGCGATCAGGAGGGTGCTTGCAATTTCGATGGTGATGAGGGCGATGATGTGGGTGATGGTGATGAGGAGCAATGATGTTGTTGCTGAGCCAGGAGGTAAACACACAGACACCACATAATAATCGAATCCCCTGCAAACATGAAGTAGGGGAAGCACCGGGGGATGATGAACACCGAGAACACATACAACAATATGGGTGGTCCTGGGGTTCCTGTCTTTTCATGATTATGAT